GTAGTTATTGGCATGAGTAAGAACTGTAATTAAGAGCATCTAAGTATTCTATTTATTAGTATCAGTTGATTTGTGATGGCCATTTAACCGTTCTTGGGGAGGTTACATTGCGCGTTCTATCCCTTTGTAACCAGGTTTCCCTGGTAAGTTAAAGAAATAATATAAATATGCAATTAGTGGATGAGAAAAGCTCATTGCGCTGTTTAATCCCCCTAAGCTTATTGCACTTCTCGCTACTAGTTGGCGGGCGCATTTCTTGCGCGACAGGGTAGTTGGGCGGCTCTTCGCGCGTTGTACCCCTTAGAGCCATTGCACAACCCACTGCCCTAAAGGAACAGTTATTTGTATGGTCAATGCGTGTTTAATCCCTTTGTCCATAAGTTGCCGTATTAGATAAAATTGATTTAACACTTTGGCAAATGTGTTTGGGCAATACTCACACTAGTTCTTAATTATAGGTTCATGCCACGTTTCCGCTAGCGAGTCTAGGACAACTCGCCGTCGCCGACCCGCCGTCGAACAAACTCGCCGTCGAACAAACTCGCCGTCGGGCAAACTCGCCGTCGGTCAAGTCGCCGTCAGCAGAATAAATAATAAAAAATACTACTAAATGTTTGTTCTTATCAAACAAAACACTCTAAAATTACAAAAATATTTTTGGTTATACATTATACATTTACATTTCATAATTATGGGCTAACCCCCTAAGATATTCCGAAATATCACTATCAATCCGTGTATTTTACGACGGGTACGGGTAAAGGATTAGTCTGTCAGCATTAGAAGAAGGAAAGGATAACATACTTTGATGTCCAAGCACGAAAACCGAAGTGCAATTATAATTTACAACTGTTGTGAATTTTTAAAAGGGTGTAGGCGGTTATTAATTTTCAAGGAAGGTCTTTTTCACAACGGTTTAGGTACAATTTTTCTTACTATTTTGCATACGACAAAAGGATTTAGATCGTTTTGGGGGCTCTTGGATCTGGATCGAATCATGATTTTTAAATGTATCTGGATCTCTATCTAGATCCAGAATTAAAGGATCTTACACAACACTGCAAATAACTACAGCATTCCAATGATGAAACGAGATTGCTAAATACTATTATATGACTAAACTGATTGCAGTTATAGAAATCTAAAGTGTTAGATTTAAATATTAAAAAAAAATAATCTTTATTTTGTTTCTGGTGACGGCGAGTTAACCGACGGCAAGTTGACCGATGGCGAGATTGCCCGACGGCGAGTTGCCAACGGCCAGTAGGCGACGGCGACTCGGCGACGGCGACTTGTCCCTGCCCGTCCGGGCGTCCGCTAGTCGCTGGATCAGTAAACCCTCTTCGCAAGCCAACTGACATAATTAGGTACTGTGGAGCAACAATAAGTACGTAGATTCAATTAACATTAAAATGATAGAAGAACGATCTACGAAATCAATCAATCCCTCAATATTTCTCCACCTTCCCAACCCTCGTTCCATTCCATATTAAATTCAATTACACCTCCTACAATGTTTTAACTCCTTACAAATGATTTTTGCAAATCGACAGACTGTGGAATTATCTTAGTTAAGTACCAATTGGAATAACTTCGGGAATATAACAAGAAATAATAAATAATAGGCCGTACTCCGTTTGTACTCTAGTCTTTATTGTCACTTAAAAAGTTTCCATCTCGCTGATTTTGTTCTTTAGACTTTGTACATTGATGTGTAACACCTTAATTGTTTGCTTAAACTTCATTTTACCATTACTCGATTTAATATTAGAAGAGCTCCCATTCACATTGTCGTTGGGTATACGTCACTATCGTTTGATAAGTTTAAGTCTGTTGTCGTCTGGTGTGAATTAAAATTTCGCTGTTTGAGTCCTCCGAAAAAACCGAAATTGTTTAATAATCACACCCGTTCGCCAGTTTTCGGCTTTGTATACTTCGTCGATTAATTTAATATCACCCCCTACTCTAAATGAAACGCTGCGGGCGTCTTCGCGATTTGGCAGTTCCACTTCAAAGTTTTGAACAGAAAACTTTTCATTCACTTTTGAACTTGGAAAGTTTCTGTCCCTACTGCTATCCGTCCTATACCAGGCTTTTTTTGGCGTTGCGCTCAAACTCGCTTCCCAAATATTGTTGTCGCCTTTACCAATGACCACGTTTTTTTGACGATTTATGTTCGTTCTGCTCTCACTTACTTTACCTAATATCGTTTTTTGACTTTATTTCGGAAATTTTATTGTTCGAAAGGTGCGCGATTACACTTGTATCTGATATTTTATCGCTTGGTACACGGTTCACTATTGAACTGAGTTTCAAGTGGATTGTATTTTGAGCATTATGGTCTGCTATAAGAAATGTCTACTTGACTTTCATTTCACCGCTTGAGACGATGGTTTTTGTTTTAATTAAACCCCATAAAGGTATATTTGCTTTTGTAATATTTTTGCAAAAGGCGATAGATTACCAGAGCGATTTTCGATGCTTGAAGCGACAGAAAATATATTAAAACTTATCAGCTCGAAAGTGAAATGAGGAAAATAAATTACTGGGGAAGTTCAGATGTGTTTGTTTCCAATTTTGGAAGCGCTATAGCTTTTTTGCAGCTTAATTTTATTGAGAGATATTTTACTTTCCTCTGGCAGCTCAATTTAAACTTGTCAGCCACTAATTTGTGTTCATTGAAATGGAATCTAATCAAAAGGTATAATAGAACCGTCATTTTGTTTGTTTGGTTTTTCGTCGCGTTTTTGTGTTTTAATTAATAACCTCTTAGCACAGACTCTCAATCCTTTCGACGAGTTTTATAAACGTGGTTGATAATTATTGTAATCGGCAGAGAGAGTTCGCTGTAAAACGGTAATTTAATGCCCACGGTACTTCTTTTCTAAATTCAGTTTTAAAGTTTAAAGTCTGGTCGTTGATTATTCTTTCACATTTGGAAAGATTAATGCAGTAACTTGAGAGGTTATGGAACACTCCCCATTGTAAGAAAGAGTGTTCCCGGTCCCGCCATTATGGACTTTCTTATAATGCCTTTATAAATCAGCTAATTTGCAAGACTTAAAATTACCCTTAATGTTATTTAATAGCATAGTTAAAATGTATGAATAAAGACCTACAGCTGAGGATTTGATATACAGAGTGAGCAACAAAGATTGAAGCGTGCCGCTTCAGCTAAATTGGCAATGTGCCGCTCATAGCATATGCTGATTTGATACAAGATACGAAATACGAATAGACGCACGTCACTGTGACAGCGCAGAACGTCATTTTCGTATACAACTTCATACAAAGAAGGTAGTTTTGATATTAATAGGAACAAGCGGTGATGACGCACGCTTCAATCATTGTTGCTCACACTGTAGAATTAATAGCCGTTCGTGAACCAATCTCTCTCTCATGGGGTTTTTAGCGAAGAACACCAAAATGCGAATTGCGGGTGAACGGGACGTCGGAGGTAACTACCGACAAAGGGAATATGGTAACCCCCGACGAGATCTTATTGATGGTGGAGTCGAATTCTGCTGGTTGGGAAAAACAGCTTACAGCTGGTCTCCGCCAGGATAATAAAGTATTATTATTATTATTAAAAACTTCAAATCCGAATTGCGGGTTAATGGGTGGAGTCAACTAACTGCTTAATTTTAATTTCCAACTGTTGTATTACCTAGGCCTCGACCTAGACTAAACTTTCTTATGTTGAGTTAATCCATATGCTCTTTTAATATTGTAATGGGACTTAGGACTAGTTAGTTATACGGCTTTCCACTTCGTTACACTTTCGATCGATATAACATATTTTTTCCCTTCGTACAAATTGTAGGATTCCATATTTTTTTCAATTTAATCATTTCAAATTATTAATTTGTGCACAAAATGGTACCCAATTTCTACTTTTATATTTCTTTCAACTGAGTTGCGATACAATCGCTGGTACTGGTATTGCCAAACTTTATTTGCGAATTTAAACGATGTCTGCAGATACTGGAAATGGAAACACCAACTGAAGCAGTTTTGTACAGGATGTCCTATTAACAAAGGTCACATGGCTATTACAGATAATAAACTTTATTATTATTATTATCATTAAAAATACCTACATGCGTCGCAATCTTGTAAGAATTTTGAATCATTTTGATACGGCACATATTGCGCTAGCTCATAAAATATTAGGTGTGGAGGAAAGGGAAAATTTCTTCAAGGAATTGAATGTAACTTCGAGTTAGGTTAACCGATTTTCACATAATAGGTCTTGGAAAGAGCTCTCTTCGTGTAATCACCGTTTACAGAGTCGTTTTAGTAAACCTAATGAGTGGAGAGGGCGCGGTTTGACATTAACATAAACTTTGCAGGTTTTCTTAAAAATTACAAATGGAACGATAGGTATAATTATTTATCTGATATTATTAAATATCATGAAACAGCGAAAATACCAGTGAAAACCGTATTTTGATATCTGATTCCTAATAAGCAGAGATATGGCAATATGGAAATTTGCTCTTTAAGTTCAACTTTGTCATGTCTGCGAAATACTTTTTTTCACTGTTGACGATTTCGCGCACGTTGCCTAGAGCAACCTTACTTATTAATTAACCCTTTAAAAATGTAATACTTCGCGTTTCGAAATTCGTCAGAAAATGACAGGTTTTTTTTGACAAAAATTTGTATTCATGTAATTTCTAAGGCGGTTTTTCAGAACGTACAGTATTATTCTATATTTGGAAACCGACCATCTTGCTTTCGGAATCATATAGCAATCCAAAGGCATTCCAAGAACAGAATTTATAAAGCGAGAGTTTCGTGACTTGACTTCTAACATTCAAAGAAATGAAGCTGGAAATATAAAGAATAGCCTAATTTTGTGTTAAATTGAAAATCAATCGTAGTTTAACCTAAAGTGAAAGAGTATTAAACGTACCAGCTATTGAATTAAACGGATGAATCTGTCTATTTTCTTATACTTACATCATGAAACGCATTAATAAGTGAACAATGTGAAAAATGTTTGATTATATTTATTTAATAAATTACAAAATGGTCATAACTTAACAATAAGACTGGCACTTGAGTTACTTGAGCATATATACAGGGTGAGTTTTCTCCGATGTTTAGTATGGGGATCTTGTAAACCGTAAAGCTGCTTATACATTATCTGAACCGAACGTGTACTGTAACACGATGTAACAAATTAGTGACGGTACCCCGAGCAGGAAGCGAACAGGTTCGCAACGAGCTCCACCAAAAGTCGGTTTTTGTGACGAACACAAAGGGATTCGCTCGCACAGTTGGGACGTCTTTTAGTACTTCTTCGTGTTTATAACGCGACCGAATCGATCGGAGCACAAAACGAATACGCAATGAACTGTTCGTGCTCGTTCTGTCAAAAGTGAACGAGCCATGAACATAAACAATAATGTATACGCAGCTTTACAAGAAACTCTGAAAGGGCAACTTAATCTACATAAAATGCTGCAATGCTTTGTCCATTTAAACGACGTTATATCTCTTACGGTTTACGAGATCTCCATGCACAACATCGAAAAAAACTCACCATAGGCACCAAGATGAAACAGTAGCTCTCTTCTTCTCTCCATCGATATCACCGGGTTATACCTGAAAGAAAGAATAATATTATGAATAGCATTTAACAATAAATGAAACAAGCAATGCTAAATGAGATCATTTCATGCATATAGTTCAGGTTGATTTTTACTTGCGCTGCACACATCTCGGCGACGGGATGGGATGCTGCAAAGCGTCGCTAAATAGTTATTTATACAGGGTGGTGCCTAGCGTGACGCAGCATACATATTTCAATGGTAATTTCTTTATTGTCTCCCCTAATTATTTTAAAGCAAAAGTCGAAATACGTTTTTTTAGAGAAAAAATACTGTATCTGTTCATACTATTACTTATAATTTTCCTCGTAATTTTCCGTTTTTCGAAGCCGTAGAAATCGACAAAATAAAAAATTACATTTTTATAAATCAGTGATGCTTTGGAATCTTTTAACAAACTACAAGCGCATATCGTTAAAACCTGAGTTCTCATAAGAACAAAAAACACCGACCATACCTAATAATAATAACACTCATCATCACATTCAGAAGGTAGCCATACTCAAAACCTGCAGCATGACCAGAATTTTCCTCAGAAATAACTAGCCAGACTTGACAATAGTCCGTTTGAATAGGATTAGGACCGGCAAGAGCGAGATAATTAAATACATATAATAATAAATAATTGGTGCTCGTATAGCAATAGTAGATTACATACCGAGCTGGGAGGTGGTTCATTACCTACCCCGAGGGCTTAAGGTACCTCACCGACGCGCGAAGCGCGGAGGTGAGGTATAAGCGCGAGGCGTTGGTTATGAACCACTGACCAGCGAGGTTTGTATACTATTTTACTCACAATCGATCATTTAAGGTAAAGTATATAATTCAACAAGGTGTTACTTTAACTGTCAATAATAGTGACACCGCCAATGTAACCATTAATGTTTACAACAATAGCAAATAGTTTCGTTCTTCTTCGTAATTTGCTATTGTTGTAAACATTAATGGTTACATTGGCGGTGTCACTATTAGTATAAGTTTCATATAAGGATAATATGAATAGCATTTGCAGGTAAGGAAAGTGACAGATGCTAGCCGGGAAAGTGACAGCTAGCCGGGAAAGTTACTTTCCCGGCTAAGGTGAGTAATGAGTCGCTTCGCAACCGCTATGAAGGTTAGGAATTCAGATAATACTAACCGATTGTGAGTAAACGTTATTTACATCAGTCAAAAAGATAAACACATAACACAAAGCATATAGGAAAAGGTTAACATCACAACAAACTCTATTTAAGTTTTTGAATCAACAGTAAAAATTCTTCAAATGAATAAAAAGTGTTCGTGATTAAAATCTTTCTTACAGAAGATTTAAATTGGGATAATTCTAACCTTTTTGTATTTTCATCTAACGCATTGTAAAATTTTACACCCCAATAGTTAGGATCGTTAAACGATTTTTGAAGCTTAAATTGATTTAAGCGAAGAAGAGTATCTTGTCGAATGTTGGGGGTTGATGGTGTTTGATTAAACTTATGAATTATAGAAAACGGTTTTGTAAAAGGAGCGAAACCGTTATAAATGTATTATGCTTTTCATGGCAAATGGAGCAGATTTATATGTGACTACATTTGTTATTTTTACCTGTTACGTGTTATATAATAAAAAAAACAAGTTATCCGTGGGAATGCGATTCTTATACGGGACGATTTGAAAACGAAACCTGATTACAAGGGATTCAACCCTCTTTACCAATTTTACTAAAATAAATCATCGAGAAAAACGGTTACTGGAAAAAGGTGGAGGTTATTAAAATATTATCCGTGACTCGTTTGATTACAAAGTAAACGAAAGTTCCGAGGTGGTTAACGTTAAAGTTAATTATAAAGGTAAACTGTTGAGCTTTCGCTTTGCTGGCATCTGCGCTAGGTAGGTTTATACGCACTTACTATAATTAGGGAGTCCAGTTCTGTAGTAGTTACGCTTGTTTTTTTCGCTACCGATTACGGAACTTACACGGTTATGATTATTGATTACCTAAGTACAGTATTAGCTATTGTTAGTACCGCAAACACACATTGAAGTCAAAAGAGTATTTTCTGTTATAATCCTATTTTCCCACGTGCTTTATGCATGCTAAATCTCCAGATCGATGGCCTGGGTCTAGGACACTTCGCCGAATGCCCACAACGCCGACACGATTTTTTGAAGGTCCATATCGCCGACTAGGGACACTACGCCGACCGTGCCCACATCGTCGACAAGTGTGCAAGGGACACAACGCCGACCATGCCCACTTCGCCGACGGACACTACGCCGATCGTGCCCACATTGCCGAAACGTGTGCAAGGGACACTAAGCCGAACGTGACCAAGCAGGGACAATGGAAAGCGCTTTCTACTGGCCACCTCAATGAATTGAGTATAATCTTGCAAATTTTAAACACTGATCGGTACACAATAATGTAGTTAGTGATAACAATTTTGACAATTAACAATATGAGATGATGCGTGTAAGTGATAAGTGAATGGTAGGTGAAAGACGAGGTGAAAGACTTATCTTTCTGACGATGGCTCCCTTTAGAACTATGTTCGTTACTCCGCAAGGGGTGGATTTCTTATGGTTCGACTCCGTGACTCAAGAACTAAAATTACAGTAATTGCGCATTGATTATTAAATGAGTAAGCATACTCACGTCCATATGTGGACTTCCTGATATTTAATTTTGTGCAGATTATGCACTTATAAATTACTCAAATGAGTTGGTAATAACGGCTTCTATTAATTGTATTAGGTAAATAAAATGACCAACGGGTATCGAACTCGTTGCTGAAATACAAATAAGTGCAGAGTTATTATATTTGATGAGTTGAAACTTACATTTTCCAATTAAACAAATCCCAAAACGGCAAATAATCTTAGAAAATTATAAAACTCAAGAATTTAGCCTTGCATACATTTATACACTTTAATAGCTCGAGCGTCAATGTCATCGTCCGCATTTATTCGTATTGATAAACGCACATAGATATTTATTGAATATGATAAGCGCCTAAAAGTTATATACAGGGTGGCCATTATCCTGTTACAGCTATAGCCATACCCAGGAGCTCGTTTTCTATATTTGTTTAGTTTATTTTTACCTGGGTATGGGAAGTTTCTCTAGAGGTGGGTTCTTGTTACAGAATATTTACATCCTGTTTTTGTTGACAAACTCCAGGACACTAGTATTTTCATACAACACTACTACAAATCTCTCAATTAGTTGGAAGCTGTCAGAGATTTCAAATGGACTATGTCTTATATGCAGAAAGGCATCGTCGTAGGAATTCCAATTGTGCCATGCTGACTTTTTTCCTCTGCCGTTAATCGAAGAAGTCATGTCGCAACCCATTAGGTAACGCATCGAAAACTGGTAGATCCTGAGACTTTCGGTCTCATATGGCCGAACGCAAGACATTAATCCTGTAGACATAACGACCCTGCAGTTGTCAGCGAAGCCTGGATTCTAATTTCCAATATTTTGTCTGGAGAAATTGCCTCCCATCCTCTTTTTAACCTGTATTATTATTAGTATCACACTTGCTGTGCAACGAAATTTTATTATCTTATTATGCACAACTAAGTTTACCATCTTTATTTTTTTAGGACGCTCTAATACAGTATAGAAAGGGTGCCATTTTCCAAGCAAGTATAGTATGTGAATTACCAGCGATCAGACGCAGCCTGTGGATCACAATTCCGGAGGTGTCAAAGGCTTGTGTAGAGAATTCGTTAAGTGCTGCTGCACTGGACTCTGCAAGACATGCAAGTGCGCGCAGCGCGAATGCTAACATTGCATGCACAGCACTTTTCAAATGAAATTGTACTAAATACTAAGCACAGTAAATATAAGTACCAATTATAAGAATATCGAGTCGCGCAGTTATTATGTAGAAAATCCGCGTTAAGGTGAAAGAAGTTCTTAAAAAACTCCCATATAAAATATATATCTTTAATAATAATAATAATAATAATGTCTTTTATTAGCTACATTACAACTGAATCCATACATACAGTAAATTTTTTTAAAATGCGAACATAGGAGTTTGCATGCAATGTAATTTGCCTATGTTCGATTTTTAAAAAAACACATCAATCTATTGAGTAGTTCAAATGAGTAGTAGATACCTACAATTGACAGCTGTCACATTTTTTAAAATACCGCCGCCCAATTTAATTACGAAATCGGTTAGGTTATGGCTTAGCTTAGAATGTCAAGGAGGACACTTCGAACATTTATTGTAATTGTTTTCGGTATTTATTTTCTTATTTTCTTCATTTATGTATTGAATAGATCAAATTAGTAGAATACCAGGTGCACATGACCTACAAATAATTGAAGGTTGGTTCACAATGAGTTGTGGTGTCAGTGCGTGGCCTGTGAGGTCAAGTTATAGTAAGTTTAAGAAAAATGTATCCTAAAGTTGCTATGGCCTAACATGGCTTCTTTAAAAAAATCTTACCGAGTGTTCTTCATCGTAAAGACTATAGAGTTGCTGTTCATAGTCGCACAAGTTGCGCGATTTGGGAATGTGAACCGCGCACACCTCATAGATTGATGTTTTTTTAAAAATCGAACATAGGGAAATTCATTACATGCAAACTCCTATGTTCGCATTTTAAAAAAACTCACTGTATATAAAGTACAAAAAAAACTTTCTGCGTGCTAAGTAGCTAATTGGGCGAAGTTCGAATGCAGTCTCAGCAGAAACTGCATTCGCTCTTCCACTTAACCCATTTCCCAAATATACATATAAAGTTTTGAACGAAAGACTATATGGCGTCTAAATAATATAACATAAGCTGGTGTGCGTGGTTGCAACACAATTCATGAACGATTGATGACTGCTGAAAAGGTGAGCTAATTCGGAAATTGTATTTTAGGGGCTCGGGAAGCTTCATGCAAAATTTGATGCCTGTATACGGCTTGTAAATATAATGTCAAAATTTTACATTAAGCGACCTCAAACGAGTGATGTTACGCTGAGCTTAAAATGATGCTGTGCGCGTAAAGCCCGCTTGACATGGAGCAATAAAAATTGCAATTGCATGCAAGTTGCAAGAAAAATTGCGAAAGGCATGCGCAGTTCAAAGCCAGCTGATCAATTGCTGCAAGAGACTTGCATGCAATTTTTATAGGACCGGTGCTATTTTTCTTGCATGAATCGTGCAATTCTAGGGATAAATCTAGTTGTTTTTGTGGCACCAACCTAGTAAAATACAGCGGCGGCAACTGTGATGCTGAGAGACGCAATCATTACTTGTTTTTACTAATCTTATTTATTCTTGTAATTTTCATGTTTCTTCAAGCAATCAAAATTTAATTTTCATTTGAGGTTAACAACTTTGTTGACAAATCCATATGTTTCTTCTGTTGGCAGACATGTGGCAATTGAAATAGAATTGCACCATGTCAAATACCATGCAATGCTTATTGCATGCAAGGATTTGACCTTGCAATTTCTTTCTGCAAGTTCTTGCGCGTAGTATTGCTCCATGTCAAGCGGCCTTAAATTAATTCGCAATTATCGCGTCTAAAATGATTTGGACGCTTCGCGATGCACCATAATGTGAAGCTCCTTATTGCAGCAGTTTATTTTTCGGTTTGCTTTCTAATGTACAGATCATAGAAAGGTTTCCCAAACCTAATATAATTAACGCAGAATTAGCATATAGAGTGATTCAATTAAATCTCAAGAGTTGCGGGTTACCTTTAATTAGTCTACTCGGACAGTTTAGAAATACACGCGCAGTAACGTAATTAAGTGATTGAGAACCCATATACGCCTCTAGTAAAGAAAAACATAGCGCACATAGCTACGGTCTTTTGGGAAGTACTGATCAATTCATGGAAAATGCGCTGAAGTTACTCGCCTTGGGGCGAAAACCTTTTTACTTGTTGTACATAAAATGCATTCTTTTATTTTTGAGATCGGAAAAGACGTTAATTACTTTCTTTTCAAAATTCGGGACCTACTGGACGAACTAGTAGTAAAAATAGTTATTTATATAACAAGAGCGCGAAGTTCAATTTCGCGCATTGAGACTGAAGGTATTTTGACGAGGCGAAGCCGAGTTAAAATATCAGTCAAATGCGCGAAATAACTTCGCGCTAGCGTTATATACAATATTTTTTCTACAACTGAACCGATTGTTAATTAAATTGCTGTTTAAGTTCAACTTTGTCCCGTGCGCGAAATACTTTTTTTCACTGTTGACGATTTCGCGCACGTTGTCAAGAGCAACCTTACTTATTAATTAACCGATTAAAAATCTAGTACTTCGCGTTTCGAAATCCGTCAGAAAATGACAGGTTTTTTTGACAGTTGTAGAAAAAATAAATTTATGCAATTACTAAATGCCTGAAAAGCGCCCGGCAGATTGTAAAAAACGAGCACTAACGCATTAATTTTATGCCTAGGCATTTTATAAAATGACGAATTATACAAAAAGCCTACAACAAATATATAGCAAATTTTAATCTCGTCCATCATGTGTGGATACCATGTAATTTTGTGTTACGATGTTATGTTCAGCATTATTTATATTTCCTTCAACTATAGCACTTTTTATTCCCCTTAAGTGATACTTTTGCTTGCCTGTTAGTTTGTCCGTCTGTCTGTTCCCCGTCTAACTGGAGAATGAAAAGATACAGGGATATCAAGCTTCGCCAATCGATTTCTACGAGTTCAGGGATCAAAAGTGTAGTTTCCGAATACGAGCCGAGTGGGAAAAAATTCCCCTACTGATAATCGTATGCGATTCTTCGTATCTTGTTACATCTGTCCTTTCAAATCAAATGGATCTTAGCCAAGTAGTTAATCCCCAATTCTGACATAGGCATTAAATTTTATTCAATGACGTAGGTAACAAGAATATACTGTAAAATATATACTGTATGTGCTCGTATAGCATAATACTACAGTTAAGTTGTAGTATTTATAGGTAATAAATTTCAAAATTGATTAATCGCTTTCGTCTTACAATTTTGTGGAACAATTGGATACATCGCGCCATTTATCAAACAGATACAGCATTATCTTCAATAATTAAATATGAAGTGCTCATAGAGTAAAGGGAAAAGCTTGCCGTCGATTTTACATGCACTTGTGGAAGTCGAAATTAACTTGATATCAGAGTGGAGAGCGCTAAAGGGCTGACACCGCATTCGCCCCCTTGTCATAGATTAGGCAGGTCGCGCAATTTATCACGACGTTTTGATGTGGCGCAACTTTATCTTGTCTCCCATTGTCTCTAAGTTAGATCTAACCGTGGAATGGCAATTTATTGAGGTGTAGTAGAAAATGGCAGCGGAACATTTGTTTAAGGAACATTCGTTTATTGAGAATTGTTCTGCTGGGTAGACCTGCACGTAGTATCTGAAACGGTGAATAGCAATGTGTGGTAACACATTAGGGGGAGCACTTTATTGATTTTTCTTTTATTTCTCTTTTGGAAACAAAACGGTTGGTGCTTCGAATTGTATGCGTAGGATATAAAAAAAAATATACTACAGAGTAATTCAAATTTGTGACATCATAAATGGGCAGTAACGCAAGGTTAATGCCAGTTGTCATAAACGTTTGAATCTGCTTTTTGTCTTACTAGTCATGGCTTAACATGATTTTGTTGGTAAGTGGATTTATTGCCGAAGTTTTGATAAAATAGTGAGAAATACACCTGAAAATGAACTAATTCGTATATCATTAGACGAGGAAAAAAATCTTCTTTCCATTGGTGTCATTTAAACCCTTTAAGTTAACATTTTCCATGTTAATTACCTATGTTCGGTTTGGGAATCTTCACCCAGTATGTCCGTTTTATTATACAAACATTTTATCTAGCATTTTTTACTAAGCTGCATACAATAAATCAGCTGGTTGGGTGGTCTGACCAGGAGTGTCACGATGTAACGAGGTCATAAAAATTATTAATAACCAGCTGATTTTTAGCGCATTTCCACAAAAAATAAAAAAAAGATGCACTATTGTGGCCACTTTGTCTGTCCGTCCGTCCCTTGGTTGGGACGCTACTAGTTCTTTATCTTAAGACATATTGTTCTATTTTTTTCGCTATTTGGTTCGTTATGGTGTCTAGGCTTGCGCCAAGGAAGGAATTTTTTCTGCGTTTATTGCTAAAAAAGTTACTGTAAAAAAACCAAAAAACCATTTTTTCCATGTTCCATAATTTTACACTTTATTAACGATTCTAGAGATAGTTTATAATTTTGGTTTGCTGTTTGTCGTTTGTCTGTTGGTCTGTCCGTCTGTTCCTATGTCGGTCTGTCCATCTATCTATCCGTGTGAACGATAACTTTGTTTAGGAATGTCCGATCGCTTTGACATCTCCGTTAGTTATGAACTGAACTGCATGAAATTCAATATGGGCATAGATTTAGCCATATAATACGCAATGCCAAAAGTTGAGTCGAATCGATTCAAAATTCACAGTGCCCTTTTCGCATCTTGACTATTTATAAACCGAATTGTAAACTTTTTTATTTATAAAAGTATTTAAATGAAATTTGATACTCGTACATAGGCACTTGGAATAAAGGAAAATCTAACGCCAGTTTCAAAATGTAGGTTTGCGCATGCGCAGTTCCAACTTTCTTATTTATGAAAGCATTGAAATGAAATTCTTCTTATAAACTGAAATTGAAGTAGCACGTCAAAAATGGATCTATGCAACGCTATTTTTCATATTTGTGGCCGGATTTTTACGATTTTAACAGAAATTGCATAATGGGAAATTAATGCAAGTGCAAATGCGCTTTTTGTAAATCGTTCACGATTACTTTTTTTAACTTGTTTGTAGTTACCATTATTCGGCCCGATAAATTCAACCCTATTCTTTTATTACTCGTTTATTACGCAGAATAGTGTTGGCCATTACCATTTAAATTAGCACATAGCCCGGAACATAGGAATGGAAAGTAGATTAAGGTAAACCACCACACATTAATAAACCTACACTTATCGAATTAATAATAACGTTTGGGCATTTAAATTCCGGCCACCTGGAGCACCAGTAATGAATTGCACTTTTATTTGCAATTTTACTAAGGTAGCACCACTATTCAATAATCTGCAATGGTTAATAAATAACAGGGGGTTTGCGAACATAGGAAACAAAGCGAAAGCAACTGGAACTCACCTTTGAATAGGCGCTTTTACTACCAAGTCATTAATTGGTTCACGTTTAACGTTTGGTTTTTCGCTTTCCTATCCGCGTCAGCTTGTAACATAATCAAATTTCGACACAATATCCGCATTTCTTCGCTGGATTTAATCGATTCCTTCTCTTCTTTAATATCCTGCTGCGAAAGCTCATCCATGTTGAAAGCAGGTATGAAAGCGTCGACGTCGGGCGAAAGCGAATTATCGCCGCCGTACATTTCAGGTGCGATTTCCGTGGCGGTGGAGACTTTTTTGAATTCGTCGTTGATGAAACAGGTGTTCGTTAAAAGGGCGTCGTCCAGTTTGAGCAACTTCAATCGGTCTGTATCGAGTAGGTGCGCCGGAAGGATGTGGTAGGTATCTGATCCAATAATTCTAATGTATTGAAGAGGCGGTGGTGTCGGTGTGGAGTTCGATAAGTTGTCGTCCTCACTCGAAGGGGAGGCAAGAGAGTTGGAGTAACTCATACCATCTAAGGATGACGTGGATGAGGGGTATGTGACGGATGTGGCCAAATCCCGGGGCAAATGATCACCGGCAGAGAGCAGTTTTTCCAAACTTCTGATATACTCGACCGCCATTCGTAGAGTCTCAACTTTGCTTAGCTTTTTGTTTCCGGTTTTGCCGGAATTCGATTCGAAAGCAGCTGCAATATGATTTGGAATGTGCTGTCTTAAATTAGCGAATCCGTTGTTTACTTGCTTAACGCGATTACGTTCCCGCGCGTTTCTACGAGCGACTGCCGGAGGTGGCAGCGTACGTAGTGCAATTAATTCCTTTACGCCACATTTAGTTCTTTTACGTGTCTTATCGACTGTTACAGAAATATGAGCTCGATCCGATTTTGTTACAATTGTAGAGCTTTTGCACTGTATTTCACTACTCATCGCCTAAATTTTGACGAAACGTTGTTTAGTGACAAACCCCTCACTCACTAACTTAAAGCAAAGAAATTATATGACGTAGTAACGAACTCATAATTATTTCGGCACACTCGTCATTGAAATTATTAATTTGTCGCGTGCGGGTCTAAGTTATAAAACGAACTACTGAAACCACCATTTCCAACGTAACTTTTGCACGCCGGCACGAGACCAGTACAAACAAACCCCTCCTAAGAGGGTACGTGTTGAATTGCAGCTGTTATGCCTATGAAATATATTTTAAAATAGGGGCTCCTTTATATAGACGGAAATTCTATACGTGAATTTTAAACCGTAGCCTCGAACGTAACTGTAAACTGCTGGGAACCACCGTACATCCTTATACTTGGCTTGCTTCCGCATTTAAATTTGTTCAGGCACTTACCGTATATTTACGGAAAAAAATTATCAAAGTCCTCGTGGAGATCGAAGGGACTTCAGCGCATTTTTGTGTGGCAGATCAGTATTCTATTAGCCACTTTTGACTCAACCATCAATAAAAGATTTTGTCGAAGGCTACTACGTTCACTTTGTCGGTACCCGCTTCCCACTTTCCGCGTACACCCGCAATTCGCGTTTATAGTTTTGACTCCACCATCAGTAAAATCTTGTCGGGGGCTACCATATTCCCTTTGTCGGTATCCACTTCCGACGTCCCGTTCCCGTCTAATGCGCGTTTGAAAATTTGATTACCTTTGTCGGTACACCGTTCCGACGTCCCATTAACTCGCAATTCGCATTTTGGTGGATTTTGCTAAAAACCCGGCACAAAACAGTACTCCATTTTTGGGTAGTTTTCGTAGCTCATATAGCTTATATTGGCGACACGAGAAAGAGAGACCGCGATTCGAGCTTTAAAAAATGTTGGGTGCCCAAAGTTGACTACCCCTCGAAGCGCGCCGTGCAAAAGGTGGTTCATTTCCCCCCTAGGAAAAAAAAAAAACAAAATTCCGCCACGCAGGAATTGTGCGCGTTGACAAGATCTTTTCGACAACACCAATTAGAAAACATTCGGAGAAAAACTGTGGAAGATAGGAAGTTCAAAAAGTCATTATGCAAACATAAATGACGAGAGCGTATTTTCCTCCTAATAATATTAATGCTAGGACCAGGAAAAAATACCGGTAGGCACAAGATTCTTACCCCATTCTCTTTCAAATGAGCCGCTGGCATTAGTTTTACTTTTATTCGAAGTGTCTATATGTATATGGAACTTTCTATAAGTGCTTTCGTAAATAGCATTGTGCATATTGTCTACATTAGAAATTTCATTGAATACCTTCATAAATAAAATATACAGCATGCGTTAACAATAATTTTGGAACTGGTATTAGTTTTAGTTATTACCTATGATATTTCGTTTAACTGCTTTCATAAATAAGAAAGTTGCCATTGCGCATGTGCAAAACCAAATTTTAAAACTGGTGTTAGATGTGCTTTGTATTCCAAGTGCCTATGTATTAAATATCATTTAAATGCTTCAGTAAATAAGGAAGTTGGCCATTGCGCATGCGCAAAACCAAATTTTGCAATTGGTGTTAAAATTGTCTTTATGCCAAATGCCTATGTATAAAATTTCATTTAAATGCCTTCATAAATAAGAAAGTTGGCATTGCGCATGTGCAAAACAACATTTTGAAAATGTCGTTAATTTTATTTATATTCGTAGTATTTACATATAAAGTTTCATTTAAATATCTTCATAAATAAAAAAGTTAGCATCGCACATGCGTTAAACCAAATTTTTGACACTGCGCATGCGCAAAACCAAAAAATATGAGTATGCACGGAATCCTTGGACCAAGCCCTTTCAAATGAGTCCTGTATCGCCAAAATCGGTTCAGTGACTTAGAGGGCGTACGTGTGACGAAAAGACGGACGGACGTCAAAATGCAGCCAATAGTGATTTTTCACTTTGAGGAAAATACGCTAAAAACTGAAAATTGTCCAAGTTAATCTAACAGGCTCGCGGCTGGCGCCTAGATGTAATCAACCCCCACATCTTGTAGCCCCGCCCCTATAGTTTGGAATTGCAGGGACCCGATAGGTACCTGTACACTCCTCGTCTTTGTACAAGCGTTCTTCTACGACCTACGGGCTCGCATTTACTGCCACCCAGTCAGCCAGCTAACCGGCCAGCCAGACAGCCAACCAAAGTGAGATTAAAAGCTACCTTTTTACAAATAAATGTGCAAAAATGCGGTAAAAATGCTGGGGCGAATGTTACTACAGCTGAGAAGTTTAAACGATCTTCGATACCGAAAGAAAATGCATTTTAATGATCGTTCCATCGCGAGTTTAAAACGTTTATTATGTTGAGAGGAAGCCATATGGATTTAATATTTTTGCCAAGGAAATACTTCTCGTATTTTACAAGACGAGCCTGGATACCAAATGTTGAATCAACTGGCGTTATAAAAATAGACACCTACGTATAACACGTGTTCGTAATTGCATTTTTGGTTATACTCCACCTCGTCATGTGGCCGTTATTTTTAATAATTTTAACCATTTTTTTATATTTGACTAGTTCCACACCTTGGAATACAGCTCGTGAGCTTCTTTGCTTTTAAATATTAAATACACTAATTCTTACGAAACTATGGGTGATTATTTGGCATTATTGGGATGAGCTGTAATTATAGAGACGGAAAGTGATTTAAAAAACAATTGCAAGAATGAAAACAAACACAGTTCGATTCCAATTTACCTAATTTGCCAAAAAATGTCATTTTTATTAGCTGAAAAATAAAAAGTAAATCAATTTAAACAAGTTAAAAAGTAATCGTAAACGATTTACAAAAAGCGCTTTTCCACTTGCATTCATTTCCCATTTGTAAGATGCAACTTCTGTTAAAATCGTAAAAATCCGGTCACAAATATGAAAGATAGCGTTGCTCACGTGCAATTCATTTTTGACGTGCTAATTCAATTTCAGTTTATAAGAAGAATTTCATTTCAATGCTTTCATAAATAAGAAAGTTGACACTGCGCATGGGCAAAACCAAATTTTGAAACTGGCGTTTGATTTTCCTCTATACCAAGGTGTATGGTTGTATTATTTCAGCTTCGTTAATTTGTAAATCTCGGCTGTACTCTGAACCCTTGGCAACTGCTAGTCGGTGACGGCGCGGCATTTAGTATCAAATGCAACACTTGGAAAGAAACTGAAATTTATATTACAAGATAATTAATTAAAATAAAATTAACAATATTATTTCATCACACTGTATATAGGTACGGTGTTGGCAGCACCCCAGATTGATTTGGTTGTTCTTTCGGTAACCCAAATTCCAAGTGATCCATATTACATTCTGCTGGTGAAACCTATTGTTTATTCCTAACAACAGCTGCGGTAGTGGACTGTGGAATCGAAAATGAAGGACATGTCCTGTCCATATGTCATTCTTACAGGCGGTCGTGAGCTGTCACTAGAGTTGGACTGGGTCGCTGGGACACGTCATACGCTCTTCAGTTGCTCAGTTAGACCCAGTGACCCAGTTTGATCCAGCGACACAATTTCACTCAGGGACCTAATTTGACTCAACGCCCAGTAACCTAGTTTGATCCAATAACGCAGTTGAGTCAGTGACCTCGGTTGAATGCCATATCTGCGATCTATTACTATACAAACCAGCTTTATGCGTTGGTTCAAAGTATAGAAAAGGGTGTACTAGTTGACCAACCGAAAGCGTGACGACCTCTGTGGAAAAGTTTTTTCGTATAAGTAATTTGGCTAACCTAAATAGTGGCAGTTATAATAAAGAATAGTAAATCAGACCTATTGTTAAACGTAAATCCAGGACCGACGCACGGTCGCGTGCCATTAAGCGTGGCTTTTCGCAGATCGACTATAGGTATCATTCCCTCTTTCAGTCAGTGATGGCGCATGAAAGAGAAGGAGAGAATATTGCTTAGTATAAAAACCACGTATGTATACGAACATCTGGTAGGTATGTGGGCCCTCTTATACCTTTGTAAATTCTTTCCCTTTCGGTATTTTTTAAAATGTAGGACAATACAGCTGATGCTGGGATATGAATTTTTTCCCATTTTATTTAAGATTTCTAAGATCAAATGAGACCCTCATCATGCGTTTTAAAAGACATTATACATCACTGTGTTAAGGAAGTGACGATTACGAAGATATATGGAGTCGTTAGAACGGATTTAGTACGTAATGGGAGGGAAGTGTATACTAATGGAATTTTTGCAATAATTTACATTCCAAGAAAATACGACAAAATATACCCCAATAAAACTTCTCCCTATACGGTCTAACCTAACCGAAATCTACACCCCATAATAATAGCGAATACGATTTCCAGTAGGGGAATTTTTTGACACTCGGAAACACGATTTTTAGTTTGGTTCATATTCAATACCACTGATCTTTCTCGTGGAAATCGATTGGCGAAGGTTTGACATTGCTGTCTCTTTTTATTCTCGAGTTTCTTTCCAAATATTTCTCTGAAAAAGGAAAAAAAGACAAAATATGTACTTCCTTGCCGGTTTTAGAGCTTATGCACTTCGAAACAGATTTTCAACATGTAGGTATATTAGCGATATCGACTAATGGTTATGAAAATAGTTACAATAAATACGAAAACCAAATGTACAATTACAGGATTTACTGTAATGTTCATTCATCTTGTGCAGTTTTTTTACCATACACTACAGCTATTTGACAACTAAAAATCATGTACTCCATATTATGCTCGTCAACCTCATTATAGTTAAACTTGATCATATAATTAAGAAAATCCTTTGCGAAATCATCAATAAGGTGTTTTGGTATTGCGAGACCGCAACGCGAAATTGCAACAGCTGCAAGTAAAACTTGTAAGAAAACGGCTCTTCAATTCTGGTTGCTTACGTATCGCTTCAAAGAGGGGTAATTTGTGTAACTTTTCGTGGACGCTGCAAGTGTATACTTGGAAACCCAAATGTTTGAACAGGATCTCAATGTCCTTTTTAATATCAATGGAATTTTCATAAGGGCTTGAACGTGTCTGAAAATTTTTCAAGTACATTCTCCACTTTTCGTCTTGACTCATTAAGTTGCAAATATTAAACAGGTTGGTGGCCGCCGAAAAATGAAAGAACACCTCACCGTGGTGTTTTAGCACTTTCTTCACATTCGCCAGTACACTCCTAGAATTTTTACATTTTTGTATATTTAATATTAAAGTACCTACCTACTTGTGATCTGAAACTTGGTGGAGATAATCGAATGAAACAACGTAATCAAAATCTCGTATATCAGGGTGGTCTAAAATATCTCCTACACGAAATGTAAGAATTGATCCCGGTGGGTTGTGTTTATTTGCGTTGTATATTAGTTTGGACCTTCTATCAACGCCAACCACCAGTTGTGTTGATTCTGGTAAACTGGGAAGGAGAAGGTTTTTGGTGATGATACCTGTCCCACATCCAAAATCTAGCACTTTGCAACCGTCTTTCCATTTGATAATATTTTTGTAAGCGTTAAGAACACCTTTAACGTCGTCGATCAGTAATGCACCTCGTTTTATGTGTTTCTCCACCTTGCTCATCGTGTCACATTTTTGTCCGGCGAAAATACGATTGTTTTTGTTAAGTGCAGTAGAAGCATCAATGTCATCTCACGACAACTAAGTTTATCGCTATATCGTAACCTATGTTGTAAGTTTTCCAAAAATAAGTTTAAAGATGATAGATTAAGTAGGACTTGCTTTACTCCAGACTAAAGGTTAACCCGTAAATACAAAAAATAAACTGCTTAGGAATTTTCCCAATTAAAACATGTACTCGTACCTAACTCAAACACAATGGAACGTTATCGAAGTGAATAATGAATACAAGTGTTAGTTCTTATAATAATATACAAGGCACTTCCGTAATCTTCAAATCCGTTATTGCGGACTTTCACTCTCTCAAAAGGGATCCATCTATCAGGCGCAAGCACTATTCAACTGCCTTCCAATGGATGTCAAAGCCTTACCGCCTTCTAAATTTAAATCTACAGTATAACCCGTATACTCGGGGGGGGGGGGGGGGGAGAATTGTGAATCTATCAAACCCAAATTTTGGCATTGCCTATTGTTGTGTTGGATATTCAAGATTATATATTAATTAATCTACAATTGTAATTTGTCCATTTTATTAATCAGCACGCTTACATATCATTATTGCAAGAGGTTACCGTAATAAGCATATTTACGAGCATATTTACAAATGCAGTCATAGTCAGGCGGCGCTGAGGGCCCTGTTAGCAGACAGGTTCCGATCAGCTACGGCGCTTGATTGCAGGCGAACTCTTGACAGATTATGTGGATCTAATAGGGTAAGCTCGAGGGTAAGCTTGATTGATCTGGGTGCCAGCACACTGCGGAATAGGGGGCAACGAAATGGCGAACGAGTTGGCTCGTGAAGGCAGTGGTGGGGGTATTCATCGGGCCCGAGCCTACCCTAGGGATTGCTCCCTCCGTTGTTAGGGACAGGATTAAAGACTGGGTGACCAGTCAATTCCAGGCTCAGTGGCAACAAGTAACAAGTTTTAGCAGGGCGCCTTGGCAAATTGGAGTCTTCTAAACTTCTAAAACTGAATAGAAGCCAGATTAGGAAGATCACCGGTCTCCTTACGTGTAGTACTTATATTGAATTGTTAGTAGTTTTAAGTTGCAACTAGATTTAAGTTGGCAATACGATGAAGTTGTATCCGCAAGAATATAACTATTAATGTTCCTAATAAACCGTTCTTTTTTTGTACGTAATTTTTGCCCATGGTCATCTTGCATATTTTATCGATGTCACGATACAGCATTACGGGGTACTGGGTGCTCAACTATCACCTGCATAACATTGGGCTCGTGGAGGACATCTGTATGTGCGGCTAACACAAACGCTAGCTGAACTTAAGTATCACATACCAACAACTAACACGCCGTGATGGTTTTGAGGTACATACATATAGTACCCACCAAAACTGATAATTAGATTAGAGGATTTGACGATTGTAAGTGCGCGTCAAAGTTATGATACATATGTGTAATCATTGAATGTGTAATAATCATCATTTCTTTCACGATTAATTGTATTCTTCGTTAGCTAGAATTTCAACACGGTCATTTATAGTCATGGTGACCCGACTAGATTCTAAACTGCTTAAATAAATTCCGAACATAATTTTTCCCCCGAACATCTTCGACAGGGTCTTCAAGGGTTCTGGTGACTTTTCCCCACTTGCCTGATCAATACAAACCATTTGACATCTGGTACAGTGTCCACCAAACTGAAAGATTTACAAATTATCCCTTTACTTTATTAAAGTCTAATCCAAATTACGTTTAAATTCAGTTTCCCGACTTTTATCTTCTTGCAATTTCTCTCTACTAGGGGCTCCGGAAGCAAAACGACCAAATTTGGTCGAAATCTCATCAATAGATTATCCGTATTGAGGTAATCAGTACGTATACAATCCGCCAACCAATCAACACTTGCTCTATTAATGAGCAAAAATTGCCCTTGATTTGCCAGAGATAACGACGTTTGGCCATCTGAAAATCGTTCTCGTTATCGTAAAGGGTGCATACATCCCGTTACCATCTGCGCTTCTGCCTATTTCGTTGTTATCGCTACATTGTTTTAGTAATCGCAAACCTTCATACCCTAGAACCTCACTAAGCCAATTTGCGACTTTTTTTCCACAATCCCAACCTAAGACTCTGTCTCCGCACACTTTACTTTGACATTTAAGAGACGAAACCCGATTATGTCGCGTCACGTTTAAGGGAAGAGTGATTTTTTCAAATCCTGAAATTAGGCAATAATACAGAGAATCGAGATAAAGGGATCAACCATCATAATGCAGCTCCAGAGTATCCATTTCCAAGTTAATAATGGGATTTATCATGCATAAACGAGCGTCTTGCTTTTGGGTGATGCAAACTCCGACGGCGTTCACGATCATCCACTCTCGATCGTACTTAAGCCCTGTATTTACAATTTGCCAACTATCCTTGACCTGAAACGCTCCACAAGATTTGACGGGATATAAATAAATACGATCTAATACTCCGTGCCATTTTCTACAGGAATCGCTTACCCGAGAAAGTCGTTGAGTAGACACCTGTGGATTCGAAGGTGCTGTGACAAAGCATTCTGTGATCATTTCTAGAAATGCGTTCGCGTCTCGTTTACTAGACATGTACCCGAAAGATATACGTACTGATCCCGTCGGGTAACCATCAACGAGATCGTTTTGGTCTCCACAAACGTGACCGGACTAGAATGAGTTAGTCACCTTCGAAATGAAAAGCCAACCTCACCTGAAAGTGGTATTTTACATCTTCCGTTGTTAATTTTAAGTGCCGTTGGCAAGCACCTGGATTACAAAAGCAGCCGGTACGCAAATGAATTTTGAACAAATTCGCGATGTGGAGAACCTGAAGCAATATGCCCTTTTGCGCAGTTTATACAAAAAGGCTCACCTCGGCATATCCCACGTATTGTCCGGTGTCCCTTAATAAATTAAAATTTACGATGCCACCTTGAGAATCAATACTATGAAAGTCACTATCATGGTACAATACTGCAACAGGTTCGCCATTATTATGACGCATCTGCTTCAAACTGTCATAAACATAGCGTGCCAGGGCGAAGGTGTGGTGCGAAATAACGCGCATCGTTACCGATAATCTTTGCAGGGTGTCAAAGCCATGCTTTAAAGCCATTATGGATAAAAATGGTACAGTTCCATCCTCAAAACTGTTAAAAAGTTATGAAAAGGCATTCTTCTCAGGCCACTTACCGCTCATGCAGTTGATTCCTCAAAACATGCTTTTGTTCCAAACTTAGAGCCATTAAAACAGTTCCGCCGCCGAAATACTTCTTCTTCAGTACATGAGCTGAAGAATTTTTTACTAAAAGTGCACCCAAACCACTCGGGTATCCGAATATTTTGTAAAACGATACGCATACAAAATCCGGTTTATATTTCGATAGGTCCAGAACATTCGTGGACACTAACGCGGCAGCATCGAGCATGCAGTACCACTTAGTAGGTTTCATCCAGGCCAGGGCACCTCTTTGCACCTCGCGTATCCAAGACAGTGGGTATTTCTTTCCTGAAAAATTGCACTGCCCTGGATAGACAAAGAGCGAGCTCGCATTTCCCTCTTCATTATATTTGTTATTGATCGAAAATGCTTCCATTGCCTCATTAGGTGTCAGTGCCGTACTATTGGGGGCAAACTCACGCATACCCAACACCGATGTGTGATTGTCACTTAAGTACGCAAAAATGCCGTCGTCATCAAATGTAAAATGTTCAGCTACTAGCTTAAGAGAAGCAGTCGCCCCTGAGGTAAATATCAAGCTGTACTCGTCCGAATTTGTGTTGAAATGTTCCAATATCCTTCAAAGACAAGAATAAGTGTAGGGTAAATTGGGCGAACTTACCGAAAACGCATCTGATCTATTTGGTCCTCGCAAAGCTTGCTCGATGTGTTCCTGGCGTGGGGGTTACCATACGTGTTGAGGGTGAGATCAGAAAATACGTTCGCCAGTTGCTTTTCTGAATACAAAGTTGCCCCGGCATGTTCCAAGTAAACCTCATCTGTAATAGAATAGGTTAAGAATTCAGTACCATTGATTCTGCATTAGCCGTCTTTCTACAGGTTTACACGCCTACATGTATGATTTCCTATCAGCAGGGGGAGGGGGGGGTGCGATCGTGGTTAATGACGAATGAAAATCTGCCGCTACCTGGGCGTTGCAGCATGCGAGTCGATAGTGACGAGTTGGTGATCAGGCGGCCGTTCGTCGGGATACTCGAAACCTTTACAGCCGAAAGAAGACCACGAAGACGACAACGACCACTTGAAGAGGACCATCAAGAAGAGACCTTTGTGTCTGCTTCTCAACCGCTTGTGGATGGGACCAGCTCAAAGGAAATCTCCAAAAGACGTATGACATGGGAAGAAGGTATGAATAGCTTCATTTTTGGTACGTATCTGGAGATCACGAAGTTGGAGACAGATAAGACAACATATATAGAGCTTACTTACATACTATCCCTAGATTTCCAATGTGCGTGTGTGAATGTTTATTTTATTTTTTATTTTATTTTATTTTTTAGGACCCTACATAACTTCACCAGACACAGACACAGACACTAATCGTTACTTAATATTAATCCGTGCGATTAGTTAACCAGGCTAGACCCAAAGTTCTCACAAGAAACACCGAATAATAATACCCAGCATACCATTACTGTATTCTTTGACATACAGAAGGCGTTCGATACGGTTTGCGTGACGATATGACGTACTTAAAACCCTAAATATGTGAAACATCACAGGGAGGCTCCCTAGACTTGTTCAGAGCTTTTTAGAAAACCGGTGTTTCCAAGTTCGTATTGGAAACGTATATTCCCAACTGTATAAGCAAAAAAAGGGATACCTCAGGGATCTGTGTTCAGTAGCACTCTATTTGCCAATGTTATTAACGGTATATAGCTGATGACATACACCCAAATAGTAAAGCCCTGCTGTATGTAGATGATGGTCTATAATTAACTAAATCCAGACGATCGTCTTCATTTTTATACATATAATGGACTAACTTTTGATATTTTCAAGTGGTCAGGAAATACTCCAAGTAGCAAACGTTCTTTTACGAGCAGAGTTAAAAGTATAATAATGATGTTTTTGATGCATTTCATAATCGATAAACAATCTACAAAACAGTTACCTATCGAATTATTTGCATAATTAGGTTTCAACTCAACCGTATTCGTTTATTATCAGTAGTTCTTTAATAATTTTTGCATGACCGTATTTTTCCTATTGCATATTCGTAATGAAGGTAAAATACACTTTCTAACGAAGTGTTGATGATGTTTCCATTAAAAAAAACAAACAAAATGGCGGCCGTGTCAAAAAACCATACGGGACAAAAATTTTCTTTTTATGCTAGAATATGCACAAACATATTTATATTAGAATTGCAAATATGCGTAATCATCTAATCAATAGGGCAACATATTCAAACATTGAGGTGAAAGTTTGCAAGTTGACAGTCGAGTCGAATACGACTGCGCCATCTTTGAGATGTGTAGGAATTTGGAGCGGAATAAGAAAATTAAAAACGAAATCGTTTAACTCCGACTATTGGAGCATTATAAGTATTTTGGAAAAGTTCTTAAATGTGTTTACTTTGATCTCTTTTAAATGCAACACAATCGCGTGCGCCTACGTTACAGTGCATGTACGTATTGTTTATAGTATGTAATGGTAATGAGGTTAAAGTACATTAAAACACCTACCTTTGAAACGCAGAAATTCGCCGTTTATTAACGCCTCTTGCTCACTTGTATACACTGGAATGTAAGGCACTTTTTTGGCTTCCAATTTAGCCATTATTTTTTTTAACAACTAAGGAATTATTAGGTAACTTGTTTGTCGGACGCTGAAATGCCCGTCACTGATAGTATTACTTAACTGATACTTAATTCCTTTAATTACCTACTTGCTTTTTATTCATTATTAGGCTTCGCACACAGGATGTAGTATAGCCGATGACTTAACAACTTAACTCATATACCTAGAGAAAAAGCGTACCTAGTCACTTTATAATATCGTTAAAATTGATGTTTAGAAATCCTTGTCTTAACTAGTACTAGATTAATGAAGGTTGATATATTTTATCATTTTCTGAACTATATCGCTTATCCAAAGTACTTCATTTCGTTTTCGTATAGCTGAGGGTTTGTCATTATTTTACGAGGATTGTTCAATAGAAACACGTTTGATCAGTCAGATAACTTCAAAAACGATTACCTACTTCAGCGTATCATGGATTAATTCATCCGCTCATTAATTACCTATTCCATTTTCTGTTGGGGGTCATTCCTCTCACTCAAAAAGATTGTTTGGTCTTCAGCGCCGGGCTCTGCGCGTAATGACAGCAACTCCATATAGAAATGATATAAGAACACAGTTTAACACTATGGAAATACTTACGTTGCCTTGTTTATATACAGTGTGTCCCAGATTGCGTGGGATTGCATGGGTAACTTTGTTATTATTAAAGATAGAGAATTGCTTAAATGAGCAATGTTTTGCAGTTTTAGATGCTTATTTAAAATTTCCTTTTGGAAATTCAAAATGTCGCATAGGTTCGACGTAAATTAAAAAAAACTAAAATTGGTCATTTCCTTAAATGTCTTATATCATCGAAAGTATAAGAGATATAAAAAAAGTTTTATATAAAAGTGGCTGTCTTTGATACGCTTAATTTAGAATTGAAGTAAAAAAAAATTCAAGATGGCTACTTTTAAGGAACATTTACCAACTTCCTAAAGTTAAATAGGCGCTATATTAGATTACTTGATAGATTTTTTAATTCTCTTTTCAACGAGCCATCATATACTCTCTGCTAATTTTACGACTGCAACCCTGGAAGTGGTTGATAGTTGACTATAGTAACATTATGAAAAGTCATCTGATTCACTAGTCCCAACAGTGCATGGATAATTCTATAGGCTTATAGGTATAGGTACGCTTATACGGTGTTCTTGTACCATATTTTATTGATGAATAGTTCTATTATATAGGTACTTTGGCAAATTTAAACTACCTACCTACCTCTTACGCAGTTTCCGAGATCCCCATGGTGGCCCTCGAATTTGAATCAGCCTGTATATGAGTGTGTGAAAATTTCAATAAAATGGTTCCACTATTTCTAGGGATTGCGTTTTTATTGGAAGTCAGTAGTCTACATTTTATTAAAATCGGTTAAGGCGTTTTTTAAAGCATTTTTGCAAATTCATTTGTAAAAAGATAGCGCGAAGCTCGAGCTATGAGAAGTACCCAAAAATGGAGTACTATTCTGTGCCGGGTTTTTAGCGAAATCCACCAAAATGCGAATTGCGAACGAACGGGACGTCGGAACTGCCTACTGACAAAGGAATTATTGTAGCCCCCGACAAGACTTTATTGATGGTGGAGTCAAAACTACAAACGTGAATTGCGGATGCACGGGAAGTGAGTACCGACAAAGTGAATGTGGTAGCCTTCGACAAGATTTTGTTGATGGTGGAGTCAATACTGGTTAATAAAACGCTGATCTGCCACACAAAAAGGCGCTGAAGTCCCTTCGATCTCACACGAGGACTTTGATAATTTTTTGGTTATCATGTTCACAAAAAACGAAGCACACACGTACACACTCACGTGAAGCTTTTTTGGAGTTTTTGGGGTACAAATTTCAGAGTATCGTTGGCCGGTACCCTATTCTTGGGCAGCGTGCCCGAAAATGCAACTCTGCACATATAGGATGTTCAATGGAAAATTTATCGATATGAGACAAAATATCACCTATTAACTCTAGTATTAGATGTTGTCGTTTCTTACGGTTTTAGACTGTATGCCTGTTAAAAGACGTCACAATAACGTACCTAATGATCGTGACGATATTTTGATGAGGAACAACCCAGATCAAAGTTGTTAGTGCAGTTCCCGCGAAATGACAGCTTTCTCACGGCACTGTGCGGCATAATAATGATGTGAAGTTGTTAAAATTGAAATACAATGATCTATAAATTTTCTGACATCCATTCAAACATAATAAGTAGTTCTTCACATCTACGTTTTTAATTTATTAGTTGTTACAACATGTTTATGTCTCGAAAAATCGGAATGTATACAATTTCGGAAAAGTGTTAACTGAACAGCGCCATTATAGTTACACATTCCATGAGTTGTATGATCACCTTTGTCAACAATATAGCTCGTAATGAGTGGAGGAACGACTTTAATTCCACCAGATGGAGGATGGGGATGGATTATAATGTTTGCGTACATTATAAATAATGTAAGTATCCGCCCGTTGAGTGAGATAATATTTTAACCATTTATTACAGCTCCTTATAGTTCCTATACAACAAAACTTTGGGTTGCTTTTTAAAGAAGCCTTTATCCACATGGGTATGTCGGGAACAAACGTCACCTCTGTAATTAGTACAAATATGTCGGCATCTCTGTTGGTTGGAACATGCGCTGGGCCGCTAATAAAGCGCTTTGGTATAAGAAACGTAGCGATAGTAGGTTCCATGTTATTTACAATGGGAATTATCTCGTTAGCATTAGCAACAAATTATACAAGTTTATTAGTTTGTTACGGACTATTGACTGGTGAGTTGGTGATCGTATTAAAGGTTTCTTTTGTACCTAATTTTAGGATTGGGCGAAGGGATCATTAGGTTGACAAGTACGCTATCTTTGAATTTATATTTTGCAAAAAAGAGGCGAAAAGTGGCAGGGGTAGCGCTGGCATTACGATCTTTAGGGTCTGTAGTGTTTCCTCACATTATTGTCCTATTTCTGGCAGTCTATGGAACTTCCAGTGCAACGCTCCTTATTGGAGGTTTGTGCTTCCATACAGTCTGTGCCAGTCTTCTACTACGACCAGTTGAGTGGTACATGAAAAAAGCTCCATGCGCCGACCTTCCAGGAACTGGTAGGATCTAGACTATGCCACAATCGACTTATTACTATTGCAGATGTTGGGGCACCTCTTCTCAGTTTAAACGATAAAGATCAACATTCTCAAGGAATTTTGCAACCACATGGGATATTAGCTCGCTTCGCTCGTTATTACGACTTAGCGCTATTAAAAAACTCGGTCTACATTAATATTACTGTGGGTATGATGTTTTCGGTCTTCTCCGACATAAGCTTTGAAACCTTATTTGCGTTAATTTTATCGGACCTGAACTTCGACGATCATAAAATCGCCGTTTTTGTATCCACATCGTATATATCTAATATAATTATTAGGTTTGCAATTCCGTTTGTTGGAGACTACTTCAGACGGTCATCAAGGTTTATGTACGCGTTGAGCTGTTGCGTCGTAATTATAGGACGATTTTGTAAGTGATTTTGGCATTATTTACATAACTACTAGTACAAGTTTATGTTTAGTCATCATTTATCTTGCTAATACGAAGATAGTAGTTACTTCAATTATATGGGGAGTTGCTCATGGTATGAGAACTGTTTATTGGTCTGTGATTATAGCCGACAATGTACCGGCGCACCAACTGCCCTCTGCAGAAAGTATGTTTATAGCAAGTAATGGCGTGCTTTGTCTGATATGTGGACCTATGCTAGGTAGGGAATTCTGGTGCAATTGTAGCATTCTCTGTAAGAATGTAACTTTAGGATGGATTAAGGATGCAACTGGTTCGTTCGTTAATTGCGTTTATGTACTCAATGGATTCACTTTGATTACTTGCGGTTTATGGTTTACAGAATGGTTTTTTCGAAAAATCGAGCGAAAACCAGCAGTTACAGAAACTGTCACATAAGCTTATACTAATTTGTGAATTCACACGCTTCGTCATAAAATCTTGGTGATGCCAGTGTGTTCCTTGTATGACGTCTTGCCATATTTATAATAAATATTAACATTTCTTGCTTGTTTTTATTTGTTACTCTGGTAACAGTGTACAGATGGATATGGAGTTTATCAATACCTACATTCGTGATATAGCACCGTGAATATTTGAATGTTGAATTTTCAATGTTCAACATTAAAACTGAAAATACTCACTGTCTTCCTGTACTGCATATGATACCTACTTTTGATTAACTTGGTAGAGCAAAATCTTTATTTAATCATAAATTTTATTGAGGAAATTGCAAAACACATTACTTAAATGCACACGAGTTAAATTGTGTGCTCTTCCTGTCATACTCTTATATTGATTAAATTGATAGAGCAAAATCTAAATTCCTATGGTTATTCAATACTTTCTTCGCGGAAAGCGCAAAAATAATTGCCTGGGTTTATGATTTATGTGCTTTTTCCATCTTGTTGAATTTTTGAGCAATTTCGTTAAAAATGCATCAAAAAGCGCTATCGCAATTGAATTATTTGAGATTTTTCGATAGTAAACCATACCCTTGTATATGATAAACGAAGCTAAAATAAACCTCTAAAGCGGATATAAAAAAGCGGCAGAGCACCTCGGTTTGACCCTACGGGGTTATTGAATTGACCCATTTTCAATAGACTCGTTACAGTGGCATACAGTTCAACTGTGCAAAGTTTGAAACGAATCGGTCCAAGCGTTTGGCGGTTATCGTGTTCACGGACGGACAGACGGACACCACCGACTCCATTGTGAAGCATTCATCCCATTGCACTGCCGCTTTAAAGCATAGACCGTACCTATAATACAAGGTGTAGGAGATTTTGAAAGGGCAGTGAAAGCGTTTATCCGTTACTCAATAGTAGGTAATAGTTATTTACATAAAAGTCCACTAGCGAGGAAATATTGAAGTGCAAGGTCCCTTTGGGGCCGAGAAGGTACCTTAATTTCCGAGTCAGGTAATGTCATTTTACTGACGAGTTTTGTATTACATTTTACCCGAAATCGCATTTAATATAAAATTTTCATTTTCATATAGAACTTTTAATGTCAATCTGCCAGTGATGACATGACTCATTATAGACAGTTAGCAAAGTCACAAATGCGCCCGGTAAAGTGACAGATGCGGCCAGTAAAGTGACAAGCGGCAGGAAACGTAGCTTGCTCTGCCTCTGTCATGGAAACTACAATTCCGCTACCGTCGCTTCTACCGTCGCAACCGGGGTTATTTTTTACCCAACCCGACATTTTACGGCTTTTGTCAAAAATTTCGACAATTTTTTCTCATAGGCCGTTCGGGCCGGAGAGGAACGGATCCCATATTTATGACATCCGCGACAAGGGTAACGATCGATAAAATTTTGAAAAAAATCGAAGACCTAAGATTTTTCGAGTCTCGTCCAAAGAAAAAGGGAAAACGAAAAAAAAAACTTTTTTTTATTTGCGAACCGATTTTCGATTACCAAACGTCGATCGATAGTTCTCGTCGAGAGAGTCCTCGACGGCACTTAAAACATTCAGGGTCATATATACAGGGTGATTCCTATAGTACTTGCCACCGTTTGGGAGCGTGTAGGTGGTGCGTAGGGGAGTATTTTGATATAGGACACTTGGGGTCGGAAATCTAAAATAAGGGTGCCAGAGCCAAATTTACCTTCTGGAATTTCGCGCCTGTAGGTAGGCAACCCAACCGGCCGGCGGTGCACACGGAGCGATCTCAGGCGGCGATGTGTGGCTGACACTTGATCAGAATTTTGTTTAAACCCACGAAATCCCGTCTGCAACGACGCGTATCAAGTGAATAAACACTATGGCAATAGTATAATAATAGTTGGCTAGATGTAGGAAGTGCATTGAGAACAACGGTGGCCACGTTGAACACTTGTAAACGTTATTGCTTTTGACTGTCGTTTTCCCTCCTTCCCTCCCATGTCGCTTCCTCGCGCTAACTCGCTCTGCATCGCTCCGCGCGAAACGTCGGTCGGTTGGGTTGCCTACATACAGGCGTGAAATTCCAGAAGATAAATTTGGTTCTGGCGCCCTTATTTTAGATTTCCGACCCCAAGTGTCCTATATCAAAATACTCCCCTAGGCACCCCCTATACGCTCCCAAACGGTGGCAGGTACTATAGGAATCACCCTGTATAAATAAGAATTTTACGGCTAGGGTTAGGATTTCGAAAAAAGAAAAAAATTAATTATTCGTAAACGGCGCGTCCTATTGAAAAAAAACGGTTAGGTTAGGTTAGGTTAGGTTGATTACCCACTGATAGGGGAGAGGCTAGGGTACGAACTATGGAGATGTGGCAGGAGGGCTGGGCCGGAGAGACCAGGGGTTCCTGGACGAGGCAGCTGATCCCCGAGGTAGGCCGCTGGATCGACTGCGATCACACGTACACCACGTACTATGTGACGCAGGCGCTCAGCGGACATGGGTGCTTCGGGAATTACCTGCACCGTATCGGGAAATGGCGGTCCAGTCGGTGTATGTACTGTGAGGAAGTGGACACGGCGGAACACACGCTCTTTTACTGTGAAAGGTGGGAGATTCAGAGGGGCAGGATCTTTGCGGTGGCGGGGGGGGGGAGACGGCTGTCACCTTCCACGCTGATCGAGAGTGTGACGGGTACGAGAGAGGCGTGGAGAGAGGTGGTGGGAGCACCCCTAAGGGTTGTGTTTTTCGGTGGAGGTTTTTGCCGGCTGGTGGAAAATTATTACGAGAACGTTGTTGAGGGAGCAGTGCAGTGCGGCTAGGTGCAAGAAGCCGCGTCTTTTGACACCCCACTCGAGGGGGTGGGGGACACCCCTGCGCGCAGTGCTGTTTGGGGGAGGAAGTGCGAACTTGTAAATAGTAGGTTAAGTTAGTTCTTATGCGACGTTGCATATATAGTTTTCTAGGGTAGTAGTACTAGTTTCTCGTGAATAGTGATAAGATAGCGCGAGACACTTGGTGCCGCGTAAAGTGCGCGAGTGCCCAAGGAAAATGTCGGACGAGGAAGAGGTGGTGCCGGAGACGCCCGCCGGTGCGTCTAGGACGACACGCAAGAGACACGACAGCGACGAGGACGCAAGCCGGAAGAAAAGAAGGGGTGCAATCCAGGAAGAAGTAGTGATTGTGTCGCCGAAAGGGAATGTTACTTGCATTGGTGATTTGCGGAAATTCCAAACGGAAGAGGGGATACAGGCCTCTGAGGTGAGGATGGCGATTGACGCGGCCATGGATTTTATCAAAAATTCGAACGGGGGGTGCTAGAGGTGAAGTGCAGGTGACGGACAAGACAGAGGACACGGTAGTACATACAGACGAACAATGACGAAAGTGCTGCAAGTAAACATTAATAACAGACGGGAGGCGCTGGATCTCGCGATCCAGACAGCCAGACATTATAACGCTGACCTGGTGTTGATCTCCGAATTGGGGAGGACTAAGGTGAGGAGAGGATTACTGACGGACCTGACGGGAAAAGTGGCCATAGTTTTAGTTAACGGGGATCTTTGTGTACATAAATGTGGACTGGGAGACAATTATGTGTGGGTTCAGACTAGGGGAAAGTACATTTATAGTGTGTACTTTCCACCAAACGATACGACGGACAAATTTGAGGCTACGCTCGAAAAGTTAAATAGAGACATGAGAGCAAACGGCGCGCGCGATTTAATAGTGGCGGGTGACGTCAACGCGGCATCTCCGACGTGGGGTGCCACGGCTGTCAACAGAAGAGGAATTATGCTAGAGGAGTGGGCTGCGCAGCTCGATCTGGTAGCTGTCAACAGGGGCAACACGCCTACCTTCGAGCAAGGTGCTCGGAGGTCCGTCATCGATGTGACCTTTGTCGCGAATGGACTACAAGAGCGAGTCAAGAAGTGGGAGGTCCTGGAGGATGAGTCTTTGAGCGACCACCGCTATATTCTGTGGGAGATAGGGGACAGCCCTCTCACACCGAGACCACGGCAGACGTCGAAGGCATCCACGGCAGGATGGAACAGCAAAAAGATAAATCGAGCGGCCCTGGGGGAAATCTTGCAGAAGGCAAAGAGAAATGAAGACTGGCAGGTACCCAAGCTAACCAAGTACCTTCGAGAAGTGTGCGATAGCACAATGCCGAAAAGAAGACAGGGCCTGAAACCACCAGCGTACTGGTGGAGTGAGGAAATCGCCACACAAAGATTAGTCTGCGTGAACTTGAGAAGGCAACTTCAGCACAGGAGACGTAGTGGCGGGGACGTGTCGGAAGGTGACAGAGTGCTGCGGGAAGAGAGAAAAAAGCTGAAATATCTGATAAAGAATAGCAAGGAGGCGGCTTGGAAAGAGGTTTGCGATGAACTGGACAGCGATGTCTGGGGGAGAGGGTATCAGATTGTGGCCCAGAAAATAGGAAGAAGGGAGCCCCTCATAATGACCGATGAAGAATATGTAAAGGCAGTCAAGGAGCTCTTCCCGGAGCACGACGATCTCGAACCAAACGCGACAGGCGGGCCAATGGAGATCCAGCCGGTGACGTGAGAGGAGGTGCTGGCAGCGGCAGCAGGGCTTCCAGTGAATAAAGCACCAGGACCAGACAGAATTCCGGCGGAAATAGTGAAAGCAGTGGCGAAGGCAAGACCGGAGATCTGGACACAAATCGGCACGAGAGCTATTGAAACCGGAGTATACCCGGAGCAGTGGAGAAGGAGCCACCTGGTGACGATTCCAAAAGCAGCAGGGGCGCTTAGGCCGATATGCCTAATAGATTTCGCCGGGAAGATATTAAAAAAGATTTTCAAGGAAAGGATCCTTAAACAAATCGAAGACAGGTTGTCCCCGGACCAATACGGCTTCCGCAAAGGGAGGTCTACGAAAGACGCGTTGGAAAGGATAGTTGGAGAAGTTCGGGACGCAAATAGCGGTACGTGGAGGACGCGAGAGGTTTGCATTGTGGCGTCCTTGGATGTAAGAATGCTTTCAATTCCGCGTCGAGACAGGCCATAGTTGAAGCGCTGAGGGAACTGGGGGTCGACGACGTCATGATCAATCTCATGAGCAGTTACT